GTTTTCCTCCACGTTCTGACTCGTCTCTTGTTCTTTGCTCTCCAACGTTTCTCCCTCTCTTCCCCAGACACCCCCACTGTGTCTCTCTTCCTGTTTTCTTAGCTTCTTTTCCTCGCCTTGGTGGCCGAAGCACACCAATCAATCACAGCTGTGGTCACAATCACAGTTCTATCTGTGACTCCTCTATCTCCATGATAAAACAAGATAGGAGTAGCCTCTCCAAAAGGCAGCTGATCTCCGCAGTAGCCAGTGGGAGGCTGCCTGGCGTGGAGGAGTCAGCCAGTAAGAGGTTTTCCTTGCAGCTGCAAGGCTTGGGGAGTGAAACGGCAGCTAGCTGTGCAAGTTTGCCGGTGACACCGTTAAGTATTGCACTTCAAAAAAAAAAAAAAGGGGAAAATTCTGATACATTCCAGATCATTTCAAAACGTATTTGCCGGTCAGATATACAGAAGGCAAATAAAATTTTGAGTCAGGTAAGTACAAGCTGATGTACAAATCTCTATTTAGGTCCAAACAGCTTGCAGATTGGATGACATTAAATTTGACGATTCCCAGTTAGGGATGAGAAAAATGAAACTTGTTTTCTCTTTAAACCCCAAGCCATTACAAGAAGAGAGGGTTCACTCAAAGCTGAAGTTGAATAGCTAGTAAAAAGCGAAGGGAAATGTGCATTATGGGTAAAGATGAGAAAGATTTTAAATCCAGTTAGAAACTGGACTGTTAGGAAAGACACAAAAGTCTATTTTAAAAGACCCATATTGTGTCTGCACGGGTGGAGCACCTGCACGGTCTAACCTAACACACCTGCCCCATCATTGCTATTCCAGAAAGACAGGTTCTGCTTGGTGCTGCGCGGGGGCAGAGCGGCCTTTGCCTTGCGTTCCCTGCACATCCCAGATTCATCAATATCATCAGGGTAATTGAGCCAGCATGGCCGCATGCCTGAGCAAACTTAGGCCTTTTATTTCATGCCGTTAATGCAGCTAAATCTTTTTTTTTCCTTCTCTCAACTTTTATCTTCACACTTCCAAACTTTGGGGGAATGAGGTTGGAGGATCACTTGAGGCCATGAGTTCAAGACAAGCCTGAGCAACAGAGACAGATCCCATCTCTACAGAAAAAAAAAAAAATTAAAAAAATTAACCAAGTTTGGCATGCCCCTGTTGTCCCGGCTATTCAGGTAGATGAGGCAGGAGGGTTCCTTGAGCCCAGGAGTTCAAGGTTATAATAAACTATGATTGTATCACTGCACTCCAGCTTGGGTAACAGGGCAAGGCATTGTGTCTAAAAAATTCAGATTACAAAATTTTTTTAAAAATAAACCTACAAAAAACTTGAAAAAAAAAGTGTAAAGAGCCACTAACATCACCCAATTTCACCAATAGAACATTCTCCTACGTAAATATGCCAATATCCTCCCAGCATACTTAACATTGATACACTAGTGTTATCTAAAATAAACTCCATACTTAAAGTTCCTAAATTGTCCCTGTAGCCTTTTAATTGTCTTTTATGACTTGAACAATTTTGAAGAGTCCAAGCCAGTGTTTTGCAAAATGTCCCTATAATCTGAATTTATCTAATTTCTTCTTTATAATTAGATTCACGTCAAAATATTTTTGCCAAAAATATGACACAGATGATGTTGTGTGCTTGCATTGTATTGTATCAGGAGGCAATGATGCCTGTTTGTCTTGTTTTTGTGAAGTAAAGTCTGATCACTTGGTTAAAGTGTTAACTGCCATATTTCTACTTTGAAGAGATATCCTTTTTCATTGTAATTTTTTTCTCCATTTATCTAAAGGTTTTAACATCTATTGATGATTTTTGCTTTATTGCACTGGTGTTAGCAGAGAGTTAATTTGTCTTTTTTTTTTTTTCTTCATTCCTTTTGTATGCATCAGATAGAACCTTCAATATCAGGGTCTTTCTGACAGCGAAGCTCATATTCTTTCTAGTACACGAGCTACCTTTTTAACATGTAGACAAATAAAACTAGTCATCTGAAGCTGCTAGGAAAAGAAAACATTATAATTTATCTCTTGTTTGTAGATCGATTATCTTTCATCTTGGCAAAAATGAACTCCTTCTGTAGCTTTGAAACCTGCTTTAAAAATCCCAGGACTGTAGCACCCACAGAGCTGCTTTTTTTAGGGCTCACATGTGAAGCAGTGTACTCAAAAGAGGTAGACGATGTTCCTATCAGTTTCCGCCTCTCAGCATCACTGACATTCTTCCGCTCCGTTGGGGGTCCAATTTTGCTTGACTGATTTACTGATTGATGATTTCTTGTGTTTGGTGTGGAGAGGGGAGCACTGGAATAAAATGTCAATTTGGGCTTTCTGTTTGTTTTTAGTGGCAATGCTGGCTTGAAGAGTTTGGTGAAGCTCCTGCCTTTTTCCCTGAGCCAACATCCTGAAATTCCCTGGGTTGAGGAGAAGGTGGGATCTGCAAAGCAGCCTTAGGGAGACCTTGACCTTACCACCTCCAAGGAGAACTTACAGACCCAATTCTAGTCAGTCAGTGCCACGTGGGATGACTAGAGGGAGCAGGGGCCCTACGAGCCTTGCTGGCTGCCAGGACGTGAGTACGCAGACATGGCTGATAAGAGAGGAAGCCCAAGACAGAAGCACTGACACTTTCTTTTCTTTGCCAGTACCTGCTTTCACTAAAAATGTCCTTGCTTTAATGAAATTGGTGTGGCTAGATTCCCACGGGAAACCACACAGAGAGAAACCCTATTCTACCTCTCTCCCTTCTCTTTGTTATATTAAGTGGCAACGACTCCTCTAATCACTAATAAATTCAGGTTTACAAGTCACAATAGCAGTGCCACGGTTAGGCTGTGAGTGTTACAAGCACTTAAAGGGCCCCCAAATTAAAACAAAAAGTATTTTCCCTGTTTGCGATCTTTGTACTGTTTAACATGAGTGTTTCAACAGTCTTTATTTTCCAAACATGCAAACAGGAGAGAGTGATCTGACCCACAGCATATTGACATGCCATCTAGCTATAACCTTGAGATAAAAAGTAAAGGAAAAAGTCAAAACAGCTGCTCAAACCAAATACTAATGCAAACAAGCCTTTCTTCACCCCAACCCCTTCCCCCAGTATCAATGGAACAAACGCATTAACACTCACGGACAGTGGTGGATGCCCTTGGAGCTGTACTTGTGCCGCTTTCAGGGAATCAGGAGCCCAAAGACAAAGCGAAAAGTCTAATGTATTAACCAACTAACTGAACAAATACATATTATTATATGTATCTGCTCTGTGCCAGACCGGGTTCTAGATGTCAGGGATATCTCATCTATTTAAGGGATGTGTACAACTCTCAAGGTCTCTGCCCTTGTGGAATTTATCTAGTGATGTTAGAAAAACAAAATCAGAGAATATAGCCTACAGTATTGAGAGGAGATAGAAAATAGCATCTGTACCAGAAAGCATGAGCTGGTTTCCTGGATTCTGTATATCCAGGAATGCAATTGCTTCAAAATCTGGGTCAAACTGTGGAATGACTATTAAAGATAGAAAGGCAGCGGGGAAGAAAGCAGAGAATCAAAGAGGATCTTCTCTTTTCATCACTCACAGGAGGGTCCTTTGGACGTTTTTACCGAATTGTTGTTCAGAAAGAGTTAAACATAATGTTTATAGATGATAAATTGCAGAGCAAGACTCAGTCTCAAAAAAAAAAAAAAGCCAACCGTGACTGCACCTTCGTCCCACGCTACAAGAACCCCAAAGGTGGAATATTCCGACTTCACAGTAGTAACTTTCTGAACATCCTTGGTAGGCTAAGCTCTGGGCTAGGCATTTATGGTTTTAGCTCATTGAATCCTCTCAACCAAATTCCTGATGAGATAAACATTAATTTTTATTCCCATTTATCAGATGAAGAAACAGACCTAGAAAAGTAACTTGCCCTTACCCAAGGACACAAATCTCGTTGAGAGTAGAACCAGAATGGGACCACAGCTCCATCTGACTCAAAATCAATGTCCTAAACCACTATACTTGCATTTACAAACTTATGTTTCATCATTTTATTTCAGTAAAAAGGAAAAAAGTGTTAATGTTAAATAGAAAAATTAGTCAGATAGCTCCAGAAGGTGACCTGTGTTTTTAAGATATTACCTTGGAACAGACATCCAAATAGATCCCATCGGTCAAAATCAAATGACACCGTTTTCTCAAATGCATGATAAAGTAAGAGATGACTTGTAACTGCCTAAACGTAGCTAAATTCAATATCTCAAATTAGAATTGCGATCCAAGAATGAATGGGGATCAGAGTTTTACTCAACTGATAAATTACTCCTCAAAGTTTTATTTTATTTTACAACTGCATACATTTCCATCATCATACGTTATTTGAAAATTGAATTAATAATAAAATAAGTTGACACTGGTTTCGTGAAAACAGTGCAAAACTCCATAAGAAAGTTCATGCCCATTTGGGAAAGAATCCATATCAAAAATCTTTATCAACAATAATTGTAGTGGAATCAAACTTTGAAAGGAGGTAAAGAAAGGTCTTGCTTTTGCTTGAAATCATTTAAATTAAATATAATGAAAAGTGATCAGGGTGCTTATTTTTACTTTGTTTTGTGGGAAATTGTGCTGGGAATGTGAATCTATTGTACACAAAGGATGTTGGCTTTATGAACCTAGGAGGTTGAGTTGAGAAACAATTAGCTCAGTCAGCAAGCCTTTGAATCTGATCAAGCCAGGAAGTGGTCACTCCCCAGGACAGGGCAGAATGAAGGGAGTCAAGGCAGCAATCCAAAGCAAGGAATAATTTTTTTCTCTCTTTCTCTTAAATAAATTGTTATCGAAATTTATTGTGTCAAATTTATGCCAAGGACTATGTGAGTACATTTCACCTTTGGTCAAACAAACAGAATCTTGTTTCCAAGTAGATCAACAGTTCATATGTTTCATGGCTACTGTCTCTAAGAAACTTTTATTTACTGAGGACTGTCATACTCTCATGTTTTGGTAACAAAACATCTTTTGAGACCAAGGCCCCAAGCCACCGAGGAAAATGAAGGGCCTCTACCAGGCTGCTGGCTGGAGTCTTGTCACTCTGGGGAGCCTCAGTGTATGCTCTGGAGTTACTGCTTTCTTCCCTGTGTATTCTTACAAGCCTTGGTTCGCAGGATGGAGTGTTCGGATTGCTTGTCCCATCTGGAATGGAGCTTTGGTATGAAAATATTTTATTAAATATATTGAGAAAATAAAGGAAGGCGGGAGGGAAAGGGGAAGCAGAAGAACATGTCTTTTTAAATTGTTCTAACAATACAAAGAAGTCAAAATTCCACATAAAATCAGAATCTGCATTGAAACATTGATTTCTATTAACTGCATCTTAAGTATAAAAATTGTCTTAATAATTGTTTCATCATGTATACATGTATATTATGTATCTTTAATGGCATGCTACTCAAGAAATTCTTAAAAAGTTATTTCATTTTAGTCCTCTTATCTTGATATGCTGAGAAATTAGAATCCATCTTTTGAAATTTGAATTTTGAATTTAGGAAAAAACATAAACCTGGAAACATAATTTTAAGTATAGAACAAAATAAAATAACTTTCAAACTAACGCTTTCATTACAAGCACTAAGACATGTGTACACGGCCCCAAAATTTACAAATCCCAGATACGTGTTTTTCTATCTTTCCCTTTGATTGCAACTGTTTGAACTGAAACTAATTGAAGAAGAGGGGTGATGGACTTCACAATTCACCAGGAACGTACGTGTGCCTAGTACAATGTCTGACACTAAGTGGTACTCAGTGTATGCTCATTGAATCATTGCACAGATAAGCAATTGACCTGGTCCCTTAGCTCTCCAGACAAAGAAATGAGCACATCTAGCCTTGGGAGTATCTGGCTTCCTTGCTGGTATAATTTAAGAGAAGTTACAGAGACCTACCAGTCCAACAAATCTTTCTCTCCTTGATTCTTGTGATGCCCGACACCACCGGAGACTGGAGAATTTAATTTTGAAGTTTTGATCTTAAAACATTCTGTTAAAATATAGCCACTCCTCCGTGAGATAGCATCTTAAATCTTTAAGTTATTAAAACTTTAACTGGGATATCACCTAAATGCTAGACCTCAGGAAATATAAGTTTTAATCTACTTATTAGACAAATATTTATGAATAGCCTACTATGTCCTTGAGTTACAACGAAGAAACAAACAAAGTCTTGATCTTAGAGGAACCTGGTCTAGTGGTGTTTGATGAGTATGTGCAGATAGATGGAGGGATGATGGGGGAGTGGATGGAATGAGGAAACCAGAGGGTTATGTTTTTCTTTCTCAGTTTTTTTTTTTCCCCAATACATTCATTTGTATCTATCACCCCAATCTTGATCTTCCCTTCTTTTCTCCAACACCTACCTGAAACCATGCATTCATTCAAAGAAATCTTTGTTAAAGTTCTGCTGGAATGCAGAGATGGCAGTTACATTTATTCAAGTGGCTTCCAAGCTTGTCTTGGTGACTCAGAGTCAGAAAAATATTTTACTTGAGGACCCAGAATGTACATAAATACATCTACATTCTTCTCTCTAGATAAATAGATATCTACATCTGTTATGCATATGTATGTATAATAGATAGATGTTTATATATCAATAAAACAAAGGTTTCTCAAAACAGTACTTAGCCTCTATGTGAAATGTATTCTGATATTTTCTATTTCATTTAATTTTTTTAAAATTCTGATTTCATAAAGTTTAACGATATCACAATTAGAGTTCAACTCCACATTCGTTTGTTCCACTCTTTGCCTACCCTTGCAGAGTCTAACATACTATATTCAACAAATATTCGTGATTTTAATGAAGATTACAGATGATTGACTGGAAGCATGTTGTAGGCCAAACATCTATTTTTACCAGTTAGGGCCAGAGATATGATGTGAAGTGTCTCCACCACATAGCTAATGGGAACTATTTGATTTCAGGGGTGGCAGCATCAGGCAGTGGAGTCAGAGATAAAGGATTTAGAGAGGCAACCCTGTTTCAAGTCCTGACTTTGATGTTCTTGGGAGGAGGTCAAAAACAGGACCCTCAACCAGCCAGTTCCTCATTGCCTTTAACTGTAAAATGGGAAATATTATAGACAAAAAGAGCAGACATGTAAAACTGTCTAACCCTAAGATGCAAGTGAGAATGAGCACTATTTAAACAGTGATTGTGTAATAAAGGGCTTCGCCAATTTCAAAGCCCTCCTCAAATGCTAGTTAATACCATGCCTTTCATGTGTGCCCTACTCTCTGTTAAAGCCCTTTGTTCTTAACCCTGTGTCTCCTGCCTCACTTTCCTATCCTATTCCCTCATGACCTGCTGAGTTCCCCATCCTGTGACCTCCTGGACTTCCATCTCCCACCACTCGTCCCTTAGCTCCCTTCGCTCCCATCACATCAGCTCCTTGCTGTTTTCAAACATGCCATGATGTGTTTCTGCCTCAGGGCCTTTGCACTACCTGCCCTCTGCCCAAAGCCTGTTCCTGAACTTAGCTCACTCCCTAGCCTCCTTCAATTCTTGATCAATTCTTTATAAATGTCACTTTTTTACGGAGGTCTGCTCCCATGGCGCTATTTAAAATTGTAATACCTGACCCCCAACTGGCATTCCCAGTCTCTGATACCCCACTCTATTTTTTCCCATAACACTTATTAACATATAAGACATTATATAATTTTTAAATTTACTGTTTGGTTCAACAAATTTAAAAATTATATAATGTCTTATATGTGTACTCCCCTTTCCTCTCCTCCAACAAATGTATATTGCCCAAGGGCAGGTATTGTTTTTTTCTATTATGTTTACTGCTGTATCTGAAGAACTTGGAACAGAGAGAATGACATAGTATGTGTTCAATAAATATTGCTCAGTAAGGATTGTTGAATGACTGAATGAATCTCATGCCCTCCATTCTGTTGGTGCAGAATTTCTTATGCAGTTGAATACCAATTAGGTTGCAAGGACTAAAGGTCAGGGCAGTGTTTATATGATACTAATGCAGGAAAAAATTCTCATGGGAAGGAAAGTAATACAAATGCTCAGTCTGGCCAGGCGCGGTGGTGGCTCAAGCCTCTAATCCCAGCACTTTGGGAGGCCGAGGTGGATGGATCACGAGGTCAGGAGATCGAGACCATCCTGGTCAACATGGTGAAACCCCGTCTCTACTAAAAATACAAAAAATTAGCTGGGCATGGTGGCACGTGCCTGTAATCCCAGCTACTCAGGAGGCTGAGGCAGGAGAATTGCCTGAACCCAGGAGGTGGAGGTTGCAGTGAGCCGAGATCGCACCATTGCACTCCAGCCTGGGTAACAAGAGTGAAACGCCATCTCAAAAAAAAAAAAAGCTCAGTCTTTCAAAAATGTCTAAATTTAGACCAACGTTATTTTTTTTTTCCTAGTGAGTTTCCTACTGGATCAGTTCTGTCTCATCAGGGTGAACTTGAAATGGACTCTGACTCATTCCACAACCTCCCTTACCAATCACTTCTCCTTTTTTTTGAGATGGAGTTTTGCTCTTGTTACCCAGGCTGGAGTGCAATGGCGCAATATTGGCTCACCGCAACCTCCGCCTCCTGGGTTCAAGCGGTTCTCCTGCCTCGGCCTCTTGAGTAGCAGGGATTACAGGCATGCACCAACATGCCTGGCTAATACTGATTTTTAATAGAGACACAGTTTCTTCATGTTGGTCAGGCTGGTCTCGAACTCCTCCCAACCTCAGGTGATCGGCCCACCTTGGCCTCCCAAAGTGCTGGGATTACAAGCTTGAGCCACCTTGCCTGGCCACCAATCACATCTTAACTTGCCTTCAAAGTATATCTTCATCCAATGACAAGATTTGTACATTTCAATCATATTGACATTTCCTTTTGCGGATGACTCCATATGTCTTTGAAGACTTGTAAGAGACAGATTTTTGCATATGATACAGCACTTTGAATTTGTTCAAAGCCTTTCATTCAAGGCTTTCTAAGTACTTCATAAAGATTGGTCCTCAGACTCCCTAGCTCCGTTTTGACATTTATACAACAAGCAGTTTTCCTGGAATTTTGGAGCTAGGTTATTTAAAAGCATCAGCTGCTAGAAAGTATTCGGTGAGGAGATCGTAGTACTTTAAGGATTAAGCTCTATTAATCCTGGAAAACATGGCTTGTAGATCAAGTTCTGATGAAAAGACAGAAGTACAATGAGTTTAAACCCGGGCCCTGAGGTGCTGGAGATCCCAGTGACTTGGCCAAGGGCAAGCGTAGCACTGCACCCAGAGCCCTGCTTAGAGAAGGGAATTTGGCAGAAAGGTCAGGCTAGACTTCATTATGCAGGCCCCCGTTTCCCCAGCGGTTCAGAAGGGGCTTGATTACATGATCATGCAAGTCTCTTACAGCTTCACAGTCACATGACTTCCAACTGCCTGACGGTGTCAAAGAAAAACCAGAGCTGGACACTTAGCTAAAACAATGAAAACAGATTTTATGCGGGATTATTGCAATGGGGAAAAAGAGACATCGATATAGAACAAGGTTTGGTTCCGGGCCGGGCGCGGTGGCTCAAGCCTGTAATCCCAGCACTTTGGGAGGCCGAGGCGGGTGGATCACGAGGTCAAGAGATCGAGACCATCCTGGTCAACATGGTGAAACCCCGTCTCCACTAAAAATACAAAACATTAGCTGGGCGTGGTGGCGCGTGCCTGTAATCCCAGCTACTCAGGAGGCTGAGGCAGGAGAATTGCCTGAACCCAGGAGGCGGAGGTTGCGGTGAGCCGAGATCGCGCCATTGCACTCCAGCCTGGGTAAGGAGCGAAACTCCGTCTCAAAAAAAAAAAAGAACAAGGTTTGGTTCCAAACACAGCATGAACAAATGGGGATTTATAGCTGAGAAGCAGGGTGAAAGTCAGTGGATGAAAAATTACTAAGGAACTATCAGGGGCAAGGGGGATTCTGGCTATCTCGACCTAGCAGTTTTCCTGTTGAAGACAGGCCAGGGTGGTCAGACATCACTTCAGGGATCGAGGAGGAGGAGAAACCTGACTAGTTATAGAGCGTGATCAGGTATTGAGGGTAAGGGGGTTCTCGCTAAACTGACTCATCAGGATTCTTGTGCTCAAAGTGGGTTTTACAGGGACTAATACACAGACCGGCCTACAGGAGAAGGTTCAGGAACCTGACTAAA